TAATCCAATAATAAAATTTCCCTTCCAAAGAATCATGAAACTTTGAAAATTAGAGAATTTCTTTTTATAGGTTTCACGAACTCAAACCAGAAATAAAAAGTAAACTATTCTATCAGAAAACTGGGGGGGAGGGAAGTAAGTTAAATTACTATTGATGTCTTTTTACATTTCCTGGGTTGATTTCTTAAAGTGTACAGTAACTCCCCCATGATCATTCTCATATATTAATTACACAGGGGAAAATTATAGTTTTACAATAGGGAATCCTGGCTGACATGACCTTAAGCAGGTGATCAGAATTACCAACAACATTAGGGAGACATACTGACATCACGTACCCCTAATATGATGTTACTGAGAAGGGCCTAACATCATTCTGTAGAATTCTCACCCAAAATGCATATCTTCAGTTTAATCATGATATGATATGAGACCAATCCAAGTTCAGAGACTTCTTTGAAACAATCAATCAATACTCTAAAAACACCAAGGTCACAAAAGACAAGGACAGACTGTCACAGATTGGTAGAGGTTTGGGAGGCATGAGTAAATTCATCCTGGATTCAATTCTACCACAGAATTGAATTCCGGTGCCAGTGGAAAAATGGTGAAACCAGGAGAAAGCCTATAGTTTAGTTAATGGCGTTTTACCAGTATTCATTTTCCCATTTTATAATAGAACTGTGGTTCTGCAAAATATTAACATAGAGGAAGCTGGGGAAAGCTTACACAGAACTCACTGAACTACCTCCAAAGGTTTTCTCTAAGTCTAATATTGTATATCAAAGTAAAAGTTAAGAAAAAGATGTCATCTTTATCCTCGTGAAAGTGACTCTGTAATATCCTAAGTTCTCTAAATACTGTGGGCACATGAAGGATTAATGATCAGGGAGGACTGAGTAGGTTAAAAATGGACAAAGCAACTGGACAAATGTTTGGGCAAATGACACGATCAAAGGAAGTATGCCAGATGTTTTCCACTCGCTCCACACGGGGAGGCACCCCACTCAGCAGGGGCTCCCTGTAAAGAGAAACCGGAGATGCAAACTCTGATTTCAGCCCTCACATAGTGACCTATAAATATCTTATTCACCCCTAAGACTCCTATTTCCCTTATTATTTCTGAATCCTTTAGATAAAGTCCAACTGCCATGCTTATGTACATGCCCCTAAGCTCACAGAAATGTCTTTTCATTGATTTCAATCCAGGAAAGTACCAATTAACATGTCCTTAAAAGTTCCTAAACGTAGTCTTTTCTACAAAAGCAGTTACTTTCCAGTCATCATTTTAATATAGTAATCATTCTCATTCTAGTTATGATATGAGGAAACCACATCCCCTTTACAAAAGTTTAACGTTGTTGTAGAAGCAGAATGCCCAGGATAACCTTGGTTAGCTTCTATGTTTGTTTTTGAGGAAGAGTTGGTTCTTTGCTTCTTCTATTTTTATCCTCTCTCAGGAAGTTTATGGCATAATGAGATAAACATAAGAAATACTTGTGGCCATTTAACACTACACCTTCACAGAAAAATGTGGTGTACTTTATCTGCATATAACTTAGAAGATCTTTGAAGATGTCCAGCTTTCTTTTCAGCTTCTTTCCACTTTGTAAGGGAAATTATTTTGTATGTATGTCAACATGTTCACCACAGATTCTGAATAAGGGTATAGAAGCTTAGCCTCTATAAAAGGCACATGATTCTAAAGACAATTCCAACCATTTGTTGTCACAGAACTGAGAATATATAAGCTTTCATTCTCATTTTTCTCTTCAGGATAAAATGTAAAGGACCGAATGTTTGCAAAAAAGAATTACTTCTCCTCCCAACAAATACTTAGTACTCTTTCCTGCATGAGCAAGTTTTAGGGATTGGTACCAAGACTATCTTACTCTCCTCCTTACATCAACAATTGTGGTTAAAAGTGATCATAGTAATAATACAGCTAACAACTAGAGGCTTCCTTGGTATCCGACACTATTCTAAGCAGCTGAAGCCAGTTGCCTAAGGCCACATGGCTGTGAAGGATGTAGGTGGAGTCTGACCCCAAGCCAGAGTAACTGGCGCTTCATCCTGGCTACTGACTTTAATAAAAGACAATGGGAAGGTCCGGAAGAAATTGCAATGGACACCCTGCTTCAGCATAGAAAATTAACAGGAAGAAGCTAGCGGCTGAGCAGCCTTTACTAAGTCAGCTTCAGCGAGTGCTGGCAGGCACAGCAGAGGCCAAAGCTGCTGGATCATTTTATTTTATTTCTTTTCTTTTCTTTTCTTTTTTCTTTTCTTTTCTTTTCTTTTTGTTCTCTCTCTCTCTCTCTCTCTCTCTCTCTCTCTCTCTCTCTCTCTCTCTCTCAGAAGGTAGCAGTCTGGATTTATGTATTGATTTCAAAATGTTACTGCTTATTTCCATCCTTTTCTAAAAATCCTAGTGGTCTGAAAGGTAAAGAGCCATATTCTCGTGGCAGGGACTTTATCTCATCCATCTTTGTCTGCCTAATACCTAATACGCTGCTGGCACATAGTAGGTGCAAAAAGGTTGCCTTCTGCTGTTACCACCTCTGCCATTTTATATAATGTGGTAGGAATTCGTCAATTTATTCACCAAATATTTACTGACCTACCACAATGTGCCAGACACTGTTCTAGGCACTTCGGGTACAATAGTGAAGAGAAAGGGAAGAGAGAAGAAACAGGGGATCATATTTTAGTGGGAGAAACAGGCCAAATGAAAACAAAAGCACACACAATCTGATGGAGTGGAGGACTGGAAAATAAGGAGATGGTTTGCTTTGACTTGAGCCCAAGCCACCCAGAGCTGAAGAAAGAAACTTAGGAAGTTAGGTACAATAGCCCATGCTTCCTAGTGCCATACTGCTCACTGCTCCACAAATATGTCACACATATGTAAGCAATTTAAAGAAAAGGGTCTGAGAGAGAGAGAGAGAGAGAGAGAGAGAGAGAGAGAGAGAGAGAGCTTTCTTCATAAGGAGAACAATAAGATCTTGCTCCTTGGCTTGAAAGAAAGCATTGATCAGTAGTTAGTGAGTCAAAGGTTAATAACTTAGGCTTGATTATTTCTGTTATCTGACTCATGATTGATGATGTCCTCTGGCTCCTCTAAGGACAGGAACCCCCTTTTGATTGCTGATACTGGGAACCAAGGAATTAAGCCATTCTCTGGTCACTTAGTTGCAACAGGGCAGGGGCAGGGGTCGTCTATCTCCTGCATCAGAGGGTGTGTGGCACAAAGGTCCCTACAGAGAGGGTACAGGGCAGGGCAGTCACCAAAAAATGCAAACTTGGAGCAACATAAATCTAAGGGCAACTGGCATAGTGAAAAGCTAGCTAGCTCTGACACACAACTCTTCTGCTCACATGTATTATCATTTCACAAGGCCACATGCTGAGTTAATGGAACTTCTCCTCCAGTTTGCTTTGGAAACGGATGTAGTTTCAAGTAGCCCAAATGGCACAATCTGGCTATTGCTCCTAGACAGCTGCTGGGAGCTACAGACAGGACAGCTCTCCCAGATGAGGCACATGCCTCCTATCAAGCTGTATCTAAAAATGCACAAGCTGGTCCCCAGCTTCTCATCAAATCACTCATATCTATTCCGTACTTATAATTTGAGTAATTAAGAATCAATGATTATGCTTAGAAAATACCCTAAGGACAAATGCAAGCTTGTATGCTCAAGCAGCCTTTAAAATAATTTGTAAAGCCCCTAAGACTGGAAGAAAAATGTTCTTTTCTCATTGTCTTGATATAAAAATTAGATTTTGCTCAACCTGCACTTTTTGGGAAGAAACAATATTTTCTTTGTTAGCCCCAAAGAGATCTCATGCCAAGGCATTTTGTTCTTGTCATGGAAAGTAGCCAAAAATATTCCTTGAAATAAAAGTCACAATCTGTTGAAAGCCTCACAAAGTCCATTAAATTAGGAAATAAGTAATCATTTTCACATAACTAAAAAGCATGAGAAAAAGTTAATGACTTAAAATAAATATGCAAATCTCCCCACTTGGAAAGAAAACCATCAATGGATCCATCCCTGCCAAATAGCATTTAAACAATTAAAATTTCCCCTAAATAAGTGTCAGATATCAAACCATCCTACTTATCAGTGAACTGCTTTTGTCTATCCACAGAAACTTCCAAAAAGTCTAACATCTTTGGTTTCGTTCATGGAAGTTCCATTGGCCTTGATCTTGCATCAAATAGATGGAAACTGATAGAGTAATTTAACACAGATTCCTGACTTATTAAATCTAAACTGCACATAATGAGATGGTTAGAGGTCTTTTGACCCAAAAGAAATGTTATCAGTGCATTTAAAGAATAGTCAACATTAGCAATAATAAAATAATACCCATGTATTTATACAATGGAAAGTATTTTTTAAATCTATAAATAAAATTGTTTATAAACGTCTACTGAGATTTACTTTTTGGAGAATCTCTCCATCTAGTTCGTATTAGTCCAGGTGGCATGGAGTTACTCTACTCAAGAAGCTCTGGATAGCATTCGAGGATTTAGGATAACATATTGTAAATAATTTTTCTTCTTCTTCTTCTTCTTCTTCTTCTTCTTCTTCTTCTTCTTCTTCTTCTTCTTCTTCTTCTTCTTCTTCTTCTTCTTCTTTAACTTTCTGCTTGTGTTTCACTTTAAATGCTTTAAAAAAAAAAATCTCCCATACCTCCATGGGTGCATCTGGCAAAGAGGAGGCAGATGCCTGCTATCACCAAGTTGTATCAAGAACACAACTCCTCTGTTACTGCTCTCTGCCTTCAGCCTAGGCGGGTGTGACTTCGCGCACTTCCCACTTCCAATCCAGAGCAACACAAAGAGCAGCAGGCTCCCTCCCCTGTCCACCCAAACTGGAAACGACGATCGAGGGCAAGGGGTGGTGGAGGGATGCCCAGGCAGAGAACCCCGGGGGCAAGCCGACACCCCCCAGCCCCCGCCCGGAAAGCCCGGCTCCCTGCGGAGCGCTCGGTACCTGCTGCCCGGGAGGCTGGCGGCGGCGCGGGGCGCGCAGCGCGGCTCGGCGCTGGGCGGCTGGGAGCGGGCGTACGAGTGGTAGGCGGTGAGCACCACGCCGCCCGAGTCCTCCACCTCCATCCTCAGCCGCGCATGTCCCGGCTCCCGCCGAGAACAAAGGCGGGGACCAGCATGGACCAGCACCGGGACCCCGTCACGGGCGGGGAGGCAGGGCCCATGCAGCTCCCGGGGGCTCTCCGCGGGCTGTCAGCGCGGCCGGCCCCGCCCGCGGGCAGCCCGATTAGCATAGATTGCAAAACCCGCCCCGCAGCCCTGGAGGGGGGTGGGGGGGCTCCCAGGAGGCGGTGGTGGGGTGGGATCCCTGACTCTAGGAAACTGGAAACCGGCTGGGATCCTTCACGGCTCTGGCGAGCTCCTCCAGTCCAGTTTTTTTTTTTTTTTTTTTCCTTGCTTTGTTTCTTTTCCTTTTCCTTTTCTCACCTCCCCCCTTCCAGCAGGAGGCTTATCCTCCGATAGCTAGGGACACTTCCTGCCTGGTAGCCCGCAGTGAGAGAAGGAAACCGAGCCTGGGAGCCCGGGCTGGGCAGGACAGGAGCCAGGTCCACACTCTGTGGTCTGGGCAGAAAGGGAGAAAATGCCCCTCTCATGTAAAGCATCCACATCAACTATGGGAGAACCGGATTACGTGGCTTTTCGGGCAGGTAAATTCCTGCTTACAGCAGGCAGAACATGGCCCTCCCTCGCCCTCAATGCCTCAGTGCCACAACAATCAGGCTCTGACCTCACTCCCACATCCCTTTCCTCCTCCCAGTCCTGATCAAATTAACAGGCAGCTTTCAGAGCTGAAGCCTGTTGTTTCCACAGGTCTTGCTGGGAGGTTGAGGAGTGGCTGGCTGGAAGGAGCCTACCTGGACTCTGTCTTTCACAGGTGTGCTACCCACTGTCTCCTACACTCACTCCCCTTCGAGCTAGGGAGGATGGAAAGAGGAGTTGGTCCGCCCCTCACTGAGGGATGGCCTGTCAGGCTGCTTACCATCTCAGAATCTGTTTCTGCATCTGGGAAAGGGGGAAAGAATATTCTCTCTTCTTCGTGGGGTTAAGAGCGCCAACGACATGCTAAGTTCTCAAGAAACATGGTTCTCTCTGCTACTTCCTTTACAGCCATCGGGGGATTCAATTGTTTTCACTGCAGTCTCAGAGGTTGGGAAAGCAAACGTTTTTCACCCAAAATGTTTTTTTGTTTTTTAAGTTTTGTTGATTAAAGAAAGGGTGGGATAATAACTAACATTTACCAAAATACTCCTGTTCTGGATCCTGTACATTAGCTCTTTAAACAACTCTCTGAGGCATCATTATCAGAATTTTATGACTGAAGAAACTTACCGAGCATCTGTGTATGGAAAAGGCATTCACTGCAAAGGTAGTTTCATTCCCCAAAACTTGCGGACACAAAGAGACATCTGTGTACCTACTGTGTGTAATGCCAAATCCATTAACACTATGATAATACTTTCTTAAAATGTGACATAATAAAGAAATAGTGTACGTATTGATACATGTCCACAATGCCTCATCTATAATCTTGGAATCAGTTACATTTCAGAATCGATTAATATTTTTTCATTTTAAAAGTAACTTGGTGCATGCAGCATTTAACATAGAACACCCTCTGCCCAGGACAGTCAGGGACAACACCCTGTTTTTAAACATATTTTCTTTAGCAAAAAGAAGTGAACCTAAGTGCAATAAAGTCTATTATTAGTCTCACATCGACTCAGGTCAGGTTTATCTCCATATATGTTTTGGCACCAAACTTTTTTTTTTTTTTTAATGTGCACTTTTTACAGCTTTTCGAATTTTGGAACTGCCATAGGAATTATAGTAGTGGAACTTTTTATTGGTATGGGATTTCTCTTTGGCATTTTTTTTTCTTTTCTGAACTACAGACACACAATTTTAAATACCTGCAGGGTACTTTCTTGAATGCACTTTGGCTATAACTCTCCCTCAAGATGTCCAGCACCACAGCAGCACTCCCTCACGCCCACATCATAACCCTTCTTCTTCTCCTGTATATTCATGTGTTACACACCCTGGCGTCCCTTTGACTCTTCTCTCCAACTGATTATCAAACCTATCAATCCTTGCTCAAAATGTCTGCCAACTCTTCCTCCTAGTCGCACTGCTACCATCACCATCTCTTGCCTGGTGGTGGCAATCCTTCCTTGACATAGATTACTTTCATAGATTACCTCTTAAACCCTCCCCCTATTTGAAGTCCTGTAACACTCCCTCTACCTGGCCCTTCAGATCTAGGGGTGGTAGCAGCTCTTGGTTCATCAAGAAATCCCTCCATCTTCCCTCCTGCAAAATCCCTAATTGGTCCCTCACCCCACCCACACCTTTCTTTACTGAGTGTCCCATCTCTTCCCACCAAGATCCCGACTGATACACATCAGGGATTTAGGCAGTATCCCGTAGGCAAAAACATTAGAAGATCTGCAGTGAGCTGTATGAATATATACACTCCATGAGGGATGAATACAAACAATAAACACTCATGTCAGTTCAGATGTTTTGTCACCAAATAAGTCCAGGTATGAACAAGTTTTGCACTCAAATGAGTTACAAAAAGTTTTCAGAATTAAAAGCTTTTTGGATTTCAGAATCACAGCTATGGCATTGTGGACCTGGGGTCTGGGAACATTCTTGGCATGCTGGGAATTGAGAGGCTAGGGGATGGCAGCACAGGACTGTGACAGCTGGTTTAGCACAGATTGACCAGGGACCTTGGCAAAGAGTCTTCATCTGGGAACTGGGCTGACACATCGACCCCAATGTGGATAGTGGCATTCAGGCTCAGAAGCAGCATTTCCAGTTTATTTAGTTTCCCACTACAGCACCCAGCACTGGAGTGAGGACAGGAGACCTGGGAGTCAGCACCAATTCTGCCCATAGCAGAGCATGGAGTGAGATGCTGACTGCACCTGTTTCTCCACATGTAAAAGAAAAAAAAAAAAAAAACAGCCCACATGGGTGGAATGTGTATCATGTGCCTGGTTTCTGTTCTAGGCATCAGAAGCCCAACTCATGAAATGCTCCCTGTAGCCTTCTCAGACATGAGTTACTGTTAGCATCTTCATCTTACAGTTAAAGAAACCTTCCCAAGCGAGGACATGGCAAAGCTGGGATTCAAACCCAGGCAGTCTGGCTCCCTGAGTTCATGGTTTTAAGTACCATATTTCTATTCCATAAAAGGGTCTCTGAGATTCAAAATATATTCCTCCTCTATAATGTGATATAAAATAGGTAGGATCTATGTTTCTTTGTGCAGCTTTCCATGTCCCCTTTTAGCATATTGGAGGATATCATTGATATATATATATATATATATATATATATATATATATATAGCCAGTGACAGGAATGTCATAAAGACCAGAATGACCAGAGACCAGAACACCATGACCCCAAGGCAATGCAATAAGACGAAAGTTTGATGGGGGAAAAGTCAAAAAAATAGAGGGGTGGTCTGCAGGGTTGGGGTGGTCGGCCCCGAGTAGGTTGGAGTGTGGTGGAGAAGGAAGAGGAAGATCTGATGGGAATGGCTCAGCACAGTACCTTCTCACTGCAAACCTGGATGTGGACCGAATGGACAGCTGTTTCCCCGAGTGCGCTGGGCACCAACATGTTCATGGCAGTGGCCGTCCTCCTGAAACTTCATCATTCCAAACAGCAAACAGCTACCAACACCAACACAGAAAACCCTCTCCAACCAGAGGCCTGGATGGTGCAACGCGACTGAAGGAAACACCACTTAAGGAGGAGCTAGAAAAACCAGAAGTGTGCAAGCAGAGGATTGTGGGATTGTGGAGGACACCTGGGCGCCTAGGGCTAGAATGTGAGCCTGTTATTGCGCTTGTAGGTAGTCAGCCCTGTAGTCCTCCGTCTAGCAGTATTTAAGGTTAAGGTTTGCTGTTCTTTTGCAGCAAGGAAGATCAGAATTAAAGGTTTAATTTGTTACCTTGGTTTGAAGTGGAGGAAAATGGGATAGTGACAAATAAGAAACTTTGGAGATAGTGAAGGGCAGTTTGTCCAGACTGTTGAGAGCTCAGAATTAGAGTTTAATTGGGATAGAAATCCTGCCAATAGCACCTGATGTCTGAAATCTGAGCTCTCTACTTTTAGGAGTTCCAGTTCAAGTTCTGGAGGCTGCCTACTAAAACATTTCTGGTTGGAAAGTGTTTGTATAGAAGCCCATAAGTATTAAGCATTTGCTGTTTTTATCATGCTTAGCTCTCTGTAAGGAATATGGAATAAGGTTAGATGCCCATATTCTCAAGAAGCTTGGATTTTAAAATAAAAAATAAAGAAGGAATATAAATATTAAAAATAAAAAAGAAGAAGCTTGAATTTTATGGACAAAATCAGGCAGGCAGGCAGAGTGGTTAGGGGCGATAAGGCAGGCAGCTGAGTGGTTAGGAGCCAGTGGTCCTGGGTTGTGAGAGAGTGCAGGCTGGGCTGAGGAACCTGCTGCCCTGTCCCCACTCCCAGGCACGAATTTCATGCACTGGGCCTCTAGTTAGCCTGTAATAATGATGATGAAAATAGTGATAAGTGAAAGGATTGCATGTGTTTTTAATACACAATACTAAGTTATTCAAAAATATATCTATTTCATTAACTGCTAAGAGCAGTTCACCAACTGCTCTTAGAATGTGCTGAAGGTTAACTCAGTGGTATTTCATGTAAATTTGTGAGTAGATACACATAAATAAGTCATTGGAGAGTAATAACATAGGTGCACTACAGGTGCACAAAGACTCTGCGCTTTCCAAATAAACAGAGGAGGCAGAGTGAGAGCCCACCAAGCAGGTGGGAGTTGAGTTGTAGTTTGAATTATGAATTTGCTAACGATTGTCTGTGTTACCTTAATTTCTCTCTGTTTCAATGTTCTAATTTGAAAAGTGGGAAATAGCCTCAAATAGCTGTTGGGAAGGTAAATGAGCTAGCATCTTTGAAACACCAGTCATAGTGCTAAGCATTCCATAGACACTCAATAGATGCTGGTTCTCTTCTCCCTTTTTTACTATCACCTGTCACCCATCTTCACCCCAGTC